TTAAATCATTTAAGTCTTTTCATGTTTACTTTTGCTGCTGACTCACATTCAAATTCAAATTGCCTTTATTTCTGATAATATACTACAATTTGGAGAATTATTATTATTGCAACACTTTAAAATTTATTGTACCTACTAAATTACATTTTATAATAACAATTCAATTTAATCTTCGACATCGGTAACTTTATTATCAGCTTGCCATTTGGCATAGGCCTCCCCTAGGGTTTTCCCTATTTCCTTGTTTGCAGCTTCTCTTTGCCTTGTTGTTGTGGCTATTTGCTTGATGTCATACTCCCATCTTAATTTCTGGCGCCCTTTCCGTCTTTTTCCATCTCTGGGGTACCATACAGTAACATTTTTTGTCCATTTTTCCTTTCTGTTTCTTATCATATGGCCTGCCCATTTCCACTTAAGTTTTTTCACTGTGTATGCGACATCTGTAACTCTTGTCTTACTTCTTATATTTGTTAGTTTGATTTTATCCCGTAGCTTGATGTTTAGAATGCTTCTTTCCATTCTGTTTTGACACACTGTTAGTGCTCTACTCTGCTTCTTAGTGAGGGCACAGGTTTGTGCTCCATAGGTTAGACACGGTAGTATGCATGAGTTGAACACCGTAGTTTTGTCTTTTAGGTGTATGTGTGGGTTTTTCATAATTTCTTTGAGGGACCAAAATCTTTTCCAAGCTTTACTTATTCTTACATTTATTTCTTTCTGCATCTGATTCTCCGGTGCAATAATTTGTGAAAGATTGGTGTTTTTATATAATTTGTCATTACTTTTGTTTTACCTAGATTCATAGTCAACCCTACAATTTTACTTTCTTTCTCTAATTGGGTTAACATTATTTCGAAGCCGTCTTGATTTTCGTTTAGCAGAATCAGGTCATCTGCGAATCTTAGGTGGTTAAGCATTTCACCATTTATATTTATTCCAAATTTATCCCAATTAATTCTCCTGAATATACGTTCTAATACCGCCGAAAGCAATTTTGGTGAAAGGGGTCTCCTTATCGTACTCCTTTTTTTATTTTAAACGCTGGACCTTTCCTTTCAGTCTGGATTTTTGATTTAGATTCTTGGTATAATTTTTTTTTATTATTCTAATATACTTTGGGTGTACTCCTTGTGATCGCAGAGCTTCCCAGATGTATATATGCCTCAAAGAGTCAAATGCCTTATTGTAGTCCACAAATGCCAAATAGTTTTTTTTTCCATACTCATTGCTTTTTTGAATTACTTGTTTTACGACATGAATATGATCCATTGTTGAAAAATCACTTCGGAATCCTGCTTGTTCTCTTGGCTGATTTTCATTCAATACTGAGCTGATTCTATTTAGTATTACCTTTGCAAATACCTTGTATAGATTGTAGATGAGGCTGATCGGTCTGTAATTATTTATTTCTGCTTTGTCGCCCTTCTTATGGAGCAATATGATAGTTGATGATGTCCATTGTCGTGGTATTACTTCTTCAGTTAGAATATTGTTGAACAGATTTGTAATGGCCTCTATAATGTGGTCAACACAAGCTTTCAAAATTTCGTTAGTTATTCCATCGTCTCCGGGAGCCTTATAGTTTCCTTGAAACAATATGGCTTTTCTTACTTCGGTTTCTAGTATTGGAAGGATAGTCTCTTTATTGTATTCCTGAAGGTATTGTGGGTTTGTGTAGTCCATGTCATCACATAATTTGCTATATTCTCTGTCGCTATTTCTATAATTTCGGGCCGTTTTGTTTCTGTCTTTCCAAAAGTCTTATTTTTTATGCATGATGTATTTTCTTTCAGATCTTTTAGAGCTCTCTTTATTCCTCCTGATTTCTCAATGTGGTATTGAGTAATCCTGTTTCTTATTTGATTCCTGTGTGTCCTGATTTTTTCATTTATTTTTTTAGTTAACTGTATTATTTGAATTCTATTTTGTTTTTTGTGTTCTAAAAGAGTTTTTCTGGCTTCTATAAGGCGTCTTGCTTCCTTTCCGATTTTATCTTTCTTGTTCTTTGAGGTGTACAGTTTTGTAGATATTTCTTGTATTGTTTCTTCAATTAGGTTATTAATCTTGTTAAAAGTCAACGTCTTATCCTTAAGCGTGGTCAACAAGTTTTCTGGGATGGAGAGAGGGATTTGTATTGGTTGGATTCTTTTCTTGGTGCATTGTCTTCTTTTCTTGGGTTTTTTGAGATAGATTGTACCCCTTACCATTCTGTGGTTAGGGTTAAAGGGTTGAATTTATTAATTCTATCTACATCTTTAAAAAATTGGAGTTTATTAGAGAGTATAACATCTATCTCATTCTTCACATTGCCGTCGGGAGATATCCAGGTCCATTTTTTGTTTATGTTTTTCTTAAAGAAGGTATTTAGGATTTTGAGGTTATATACCTGTGCCAGGTTCACGAGTCTTTGTCCGTTGTTGTTTCTTTTTCCTGTGCTAAACTGACCTACTATACTATCCTCATTTGGTAGTCTTTTACCGATTTTCCCGTTGAAATCTCCCACCAAAATGACTGTTTTATGGGCACTTGCAAGCGTTTTCTCCGGGTTTTCATAGAATGAGTCCTTTACGTCGTTAGGTGCTACCTCTGTACCTACCTACTTAACATTAATATAGTTTCATATCCTGGTAAGTTGATATTGAGTTGTGCGATTCGTTCAGAGATTCCAGTGAAAGACTGTACGCATTCTCTGTAACACTTTTTGATAAGAAATCCGACACCATGTAAGCCTGGAGTTTTTCCTATATGATAGAAAATGTAGTTGTTATGTTGTTCAATTTTTTCGCCCATTCGCCTAACTTCGCTTAGGCCGATAATATCCCAGTATATAAAATCTAAGGCATATTCAAGTTCCTGCAGGGATTCATCTGTTCTTAAGGTACGAGTGTTGAGTGTTGATATGTAAATGCTGTTTCTTTTGTTTTTTGTAGATCCTGTATCTTGCTCTTGTGCTGACTCACATACTGAAGTGTGTCTTTAAGCTGTTGCAAATTTTTAAAACCAAATCATTTTCTACGACTCTTGAAAAATCGCTTATTAAATCTTACATAAAAATAAAAATATATATTGTGTTTCTCTGTTTAATATTACTCTGTAAATACATTGCAATAACACAGTTTAAAGACCTCATTACAGTTGGAAAAGGAATGTACTTGTGCAGAGCAACGGGGTAGTGGGCGGCCAAACTTATGGCGCAAGTCTGTTTTATAGTACTTATTGAACAAATTTTAAGTGCCGTTTTCGAAAAACATATCTATAATGGTGAATTACTGTTATAGTTATATGAGTTACTAAGTAAAAGTGAATTCAAATGACGGCCATGCTTATGTTTCCTCTCATAAAATTGTTTTTCCTAATGCGAATACATTACATAATTCAATTTAACAATCAAAAATTGAAATCACCTACAAAAAGAAAGTGTCACGATAATATTTGGCAGTGCAACACTTGTAAATTTGTTTTTTCTTGTAGTAATAGAAAATGATTTTGTTCTATAAACGTTTTTAACTTTAAATTATGGACATAATGTTAGTAAATGATAATGATTATTATAATAACCCAAATCATTTTATTTCCTTTTTCGAAAAATATATCTATAATAGTGAATTACTGTCATATTTATATGAGTCACTAAGTAAATATGAATTCAAATGACGGCCATGCTTATGTTTCCTCTCATAAAATTGTTTTTCCGAATGCGAATAAATTACATAATTCAATTTAACAATCAAAAATTGAAAACATCTATAAAAAAGAAAGTGTCACGTAAATATTTGGCAGTGCAACACTTGTAAATTTGTTTTTTCTTGTAGTAATAGAAAATGATTTTGTTCTATAAACGTTTTTAACTTTAAATTATGGACATAATGTTAGTAAATGATAATGATTATTATAATAACCCAAATCATTTTATTTCCATTTTCGGACCACCCGTAGCATACGCACTGGCCGCTTAACGACGCCACGTCTCTGACACACGCCTTTGACGTCCGGCGATGCCGACGCGGGCGGCGGCATCGCCGGACGTCAAAGACGTTTCACAAATGTAAGGTCCTTCAGCTGTTGCAAAAATAATTAGTAATGCTGAAATAAAGCAACGTCACGCGTGTACGTCAAAGTGAAAAAAGGCAAGTTAGAAACAAGAAGAGAAGAGAACAACAGAAAGCTTTGCAGAATCTTCTAATGAATATTCACAGGCTTCCACACCTGTTCCTTTAAGCCCCAGGTTACTTCCTTTAAGTCCTAGATCTCCTTTACCAACTACAACCTCATCTGCTACTAGAGTAAGGGGAAGGGAAAAAGTTAGACGAGACAGATCGAAAATTTATAGACAAAACATGAAACTTCAAGACCTTGTAAAAGAGTTACAGAAAAAAAAATACGAAATAGGTACAAGAAAACACTTCAACGTCAAAAAAATAAAAAAGACAACTTATTACATAATATAACCAAAACTAGAAAAAAAATGTAGATAAAATTAAAGGCTCCGAAGAAGCAAAAAGAAATGCCATCAAAGACGTAAATTGTAAGTCTCGTAACTCAGTTCTTCTATCGTAAAAATAATGTTAGTAAATGATAATGATTATTATAATAACCCAAATCATTTTATTTCCATTTTCGGACCACCCGTAGCATACGCACTGGCCGCTTAACGACGCCACGTCTCAGACACACGCCTTTGACGTACGGCGATGCCGACGCGGCGGCGGCATCGCCGGACGTCAAAGACGTTTCACAAATGTAAGGTCTTTAAGCTGTTGCAAAGATAATTAGTAATGCTGAAATAAAGCAACTTCACGCGTGTACGTCAAAGTGTAGAGTATTAAAAATAATTAACTTCTAAAAAAGGAATTAACATTGATTATTTCGAAAGCTTTTACCTAACTCTCAATAAAAATCAAAGTAAAGGTTTCAAACACCCTTTATAATTAAAATCTGAGGACTTTTCAGTACATTACAATTAACCTTGTTTAAGCCTTATATCAAAAACATTCACTCACATTGCGGTTCGTAGTACATTGACTACGATAATAACATTTCCTTGTAAGCTTCATACCATGTTTAAATTGCAGTCGTCAAATTGGCTTCTTCTAAAGATAGAGCTAACACTTCAATCCCTTTTCCAAAAACGGAAATTGTATTTGTGGCCCTGAAAACAATATTAGAATCAATATTAGAAGAGACGCCCAGACTTGGTTTGCAACACGCGTCAGAGCACTCGGGCTCGAACTTAGTCTGTGCCGTAATAAGGTACTCTGTAGGTTCAACGATTTTTTACGGTGTTTGTTCTAATACGTAGTACTTACTTTAATGATTAGGATACGTAACTTTCTCGAAATGAAAAACAAAAAATGTAGAACGATACTATTGTCATAGTACTTATTGCAGTGTAGTGGCGACGTAAGAGAATCTGCTAATATCATCCCGTGGGTGTCGTAAGAGGCGGCAGAAGAACATGGAAAAAATCTGCGGTCGCCAACCGGACTGCTAATTTTTTTAATATAGAATAATGGTCACAAACGAGCGCGCAGTCCACCTCATGGCAAGTGTATACCAAGGCCCATAGACATCTGGTCGTTCTACTTATCCATCGACAATGACGTCCCTTCAGGAAAAAAATCGTTATTCATCCAAAATGGCAATTTCTCAAATTTTATTTTCACAAGACTTTTTGGGCCATATAGTTATTATAATAATATTAAAATCCCGTTTTTATTGATTTTATGTGACAGAGGTGTTTTACATACATACGAATAAAATGTGTCTCTTTGCTCCGCCGAATTTTACAAAATGATCACGCTAAAGAAATCATAAAGAACTCTTTAATGTAAAATTATTTATTGAACATCTGAAATATTTTCATTAAATTAATTAGAATATAATAAACGTAAAAGTTCATACTATTAAACAAAAAAAATATCGTTGGGTCCGGTTGTATATGTTTTTTCTTGCTATCTTCCGTCACGCATTTTGCAAAACAAAAACGCGCCTTAGTTGTTTGACCTTCAACACTAAGCAACAGAACTATATAGTATAGAGGTAAGAGGACAATCTCCCATAGGAATGTGTCCATCTGTAAGCAGTACCTAAATAAAAGTTCAAAAACTCTCCACAACAGCGCTCAAGTAGCTACAGGGTATGATAAATCGTCGTAAAATACGTTGAGTGATTTTGAAAACATAAATTTTGAAAGCAATAAAATAATTATTGTTATAAGATTTATGGTGAAAGTTTGTGCAATAAAAAAATTATTAAAAGTTCTTTAAAATTTAGACTGTAGCTACAGTGGCGCCACCCTTATTTAACGCTTTCCTACGGACACTTTTTTAAACGGAGTCTGTACTCCTTACCTCTACACTCCATAAACAGTACGGTTTCCTCTCTCACCTTGGCCTCACGCCTTAAGGCCCCACCCGGGAGCGAACCGAGTATAAGTTAATCGTCCGCAGGTAGTGAACAGAGGTGCGTGTGTTTATACGGCGGCCGCTCTGTCACGTAATTAACTACTTTGAAATCTTATAGTAATTCCCAATTATATATGTAATTTTATTATTTTTCAGTAAATCTTTCATATTCACCTACTTTTACGAAAAATTCATAATTTTGTGAACCTCTTTAACAAAAAAAAAAAAACTGTGAAGGAGTGGCATAACTCGTGACGGAGTGGTAATTTTTGTCTGAAACTTTGCCTTCATTGATTTTCACAATAGTTAATAAATATTTTTTTGAGTTCTATACGTTACATTATCAATTATTTTATTCATTTAAGGTATTATCATCGGGGTAATTAAAAATGGCGCTATCTGCGGCGAAGAGGCAGCGACGTTGTCGTGAAAAAAGAAACAAGACCACGAAAAAGTTGTAAAAGTGAACCGAAAAGACTTAGATACCGTGCCCGCAAAAAGCTAGTCAAAGATATGACACCAAGAGAACACAGAAAAATGAAAAAAGGCAAGTTAGAAACAAGAAGAGAAGAGAACAACAGAAAGCTTTGCAGAATCTTCTAATGAATATTCACAGGCTTCCACACCTGTTCCTTTAAGCCCCAGGTTACTTCCTTTAAGTCCTAGATCTCCTTTACCAACTACAACCTCATCTGCTACTAGAGTAAGGGGAAGGGAAAAAGTTAGACGAGACAGATCGAAAATTTATAGACAAAACATGAAACTTCAAGACCTTGTTTTTATTTTTTTTCTGTAACTCTTTTGAGTTACAGAAAAAAAATACGAAATAGGTACAAGAAAACACTTCAACGTCAAAAAAATAAAAAAGACAACTTATTACATAATATAACCAAAACTAGAAAAAAAATGTAGATAAAATTAAAGGCTCCGAAGAAGCAAAAAGAAATGCCATCAAAGACGTAAATTGTAAGTCTCGTAACTCAGTTCTTCTATCGTAAAAAGTTGTTAGATGCATGTAATACCAAGTCGGTTAATTTATTCAGTTCCTACTTCAGGGTCCTTCTGTCTTAAGTTATTACAGAAATTGAAAAATATTTTAGTTTTTCCTTGATTTATATACTAAACACTAATTGTGTTCTAAGTTTGAAGTTTCTACGTCTGTTAGAAGTGCCTTAGAGTTTTGATGATCGGTCAGTCAGTGAGTGACAAAATTAAGAAACTTTGACTAATTACAATTCCTAAACTACTGGTTCAAATTGAATAAAATTTGAAATATACCAGAAAAGTATACTAAAAATTGCAGTAATATATATGTTTTTTGTTGTCCTTTGTAGAAGTCAAGTAATGACTTTTATAAAGGACAAACAATCAAAACAAATTAAATTCACTTATTTTCATAATACAAAAAATTGGTACGCTGTATTTTGTATTATTACCTTATGAGGTGTGCAAATACACTACAATATAGACTACACATTACTAATTCAATAATGGAGCTCTGAAATAAAATTAAGAATAAGAAGAAAAAAAAAAGGAAAAAAATTGTCAATAGTTGAGTTAAGTCTATAGTGCTAATTGTTCTCATACTAAATACCTTGATGTTATATAAGCTCAAAATTAAATATTTTTGATAATATGTACAATCAAATTTAACCTTAGGAAGACAATAGGGGTGACGCGTCACCCCACTACTCGAAAAAAGTTGAATATCTTGTTAGTGTGTTTTTGTTTCTTTCTAATGCTCGATCTATTCTCCAATTGGAGTGAATGCAATCAGTTACATACGTCAACATGTCACAGTAAGTTGTTATTTTTGTTATATTGACATTGTTGGGGTGACTCGTCACCCCTGTTGCTTCTTACGTAAGTTTAATTTTTGGTGATACTGATATAAATGTTTGTTTGGTATGATCAGCCTCTTGTTAATCAGAAAAAAAAAACTGTGCACATAAAACCGGGTACTTCATATGACCTGTCTGTAGACAACATCCACCCATTATTAATAAAAAATGGTACACATATGTTAGTAAAAGTACCCAGTAAAAACAAAGTCGAGTACACCTACTTAGGAGTTGCAAAAAGTTGTGTGAATAAAGATGGAGATGTTCAGGTGATGCTTTATAAAACTGTAGATGACACTGGAAAAATATTTAAATTAGTAAAATCAGATTTATCAGATGTGATGTTTGAAAACTTGATAAAAATAATTCCAAGTCCTAAATAAGTGTAAAGAGGAAGGCTTGTTTATTACGAATTTGATAAACCAATAGAAGTGTTTGAAAAGTAGAATAAGAAAAAAGAGAAAATTAATCTGATTTTACGTGTACCAAAGAATGGTTCTACCAAGAAATAATTTAATATGTACTCGTAGCATTATAAGAGAAGAATTATGTTTTGTTATCGTTTTAAAAACTTTTAAAATGTTAAAGGATTATATAGTATAAGGTTCAAATGTTGGCTTATTAATATCTACCACTCTGTCACAATTTTGTTACTCTTGTAATTAAATGTTAAAGTAGCATATGATTCACTTTATTGAAAACATTACCAAAATAAGGTATTAACAGAATTTTAGCCATGTTTATTTCAAATATTTTCAAAATATTTCAAAGTTTGTTGTCTTAATGAGAAAAAATGTGACAGAGTGGTATTAAATATCATTTTTTATATATTCATAATAAGAATTCCGATAAATCAAGTTAAACAATAAAACCTGCTTGTATTCTAGTCAAGCAAAAATAAAAAAAACTGAAATATTGATTTTACATAATAACTAATAAATATATATTTTTTGTGACTGAGGTGTTTATTTTTCTTACTATTCCTTTATAAAACTTAAAATAAATGAAAGGTACAAAATAACACTTCGATGCATTATACGTTTCTAAAACCTTCGATAACTGGACAATAATAATTTAAAAATACATTTTATAAAAGAAATACACTTTTTTTTTAATCTAAAAATTTATCACTCAGATTGTCGGTAGAAAAGTAGAACCCCCCATCTACATCTATCCTCGACCATGAATCAAAATGCAGAAACAATGTAATTCTTCGTTTACAGTAAAAAGGATCTCCAGTTCTCTACACTCACCATACGAAACAGTAGCATTAAGCTGCTTTTTTACGTTGGTATCCTGTGAGAGCTTGGTACTTCCATTCGTGCTACAACAATATAGCTGCAGCATAGCTCTACCACGTGAATTGTAACAAGTGTGGCAACTGTGAGGCAGTCTATGCGGAAGCCTATGTTCCGCAGTGAACTTTTGATGGGCTGTAATAAATGAATGAATGGTTTTCCCCGGGATTCCCCGATTTGAATTAAGCGCCGCACAAGTGCTTATTTGGGTAATTCCCCGCTACACTGGTGAGAAATAGGAATCTCTGCGTTTCAGTCAGTCGAGGTATCTGCATCAGTATTAACACTTAGGTATTTAGTGATATGAAATATATAATAATAATATTTTTGATATGTTCACGTATTTTACATGAACATATCAAAAATATTTAAAAACTATAATAATTGAGTGTCTGTAAAGCGCTGATAAAACAAGAATAAGATACTGAGTATTTCTCACCCGGACTGTTTGACAAAATCGATGCCGTGAATATCAGCTACATCACTTATAGTTTGATAAGAATATTCTACTTCACGGCCATTCTTACTTATTTTAAAAACTGTAACCCTTTGATCAATCGACGCTGTCACTAAAGTGTTGTCTTTTATTAAAACACCAGTTATTTGAGAACTGTGAAATTTATCAGATGTCCAATTATGAACAATTTTAGCCGATTTGATATCTTCACTTGGAACATGAACTATTTTCACATGGATAGCATTATCGTCTCCTCCTGTAGCGAACAATATTTCTGAATCGGAAATTATTTTTGACGCAATGCAGTTAATCCCAGATTTGTTGGTGGTTGTAGAGAGGAAAGGTTCGGAGAAAACTGTAGTATCATTATCTGTTACACTAGTTGGTTCAGTAACATCCCAAAAGCAAACCTCTCCTCTTGTGGTACACGTCAGTAAAATAATCCTATCTAGAAATTTAACACAATGTGTTTTAAGTATGCACGTTTTATGATACTTCAGCTGTCCCAAAGGTTCGAACGTTACTTTGTCCCCGTTGTATTTAAATTGGAAAATTCTAAGGTACGCATCCGAACACCCTGCATAGATAAGAAAACAATTATCTTTGTTTTCAACAATCTCTAAATCCATGATTCGAGTTTCTGGATCGAAATCCACAAAACAGTTACGCCAAGTTTTGTCACCTTTACGCTCTTTGTCTGTCCCTTTGACTAAAAAGTCAACAACATCTTCCACTACTACTTTAACATTGTCACAGTCTTTAACAAAATGTATTATATTGATACAAATCTGTGCTCTTCCACCACCAGATACAACAAGTAGTTTATCACTTTCTAAAAGAAAAACTTTCAAAGATCTGATACTAGACAGATGTTTTATAATAACCTCATCTTGAAAATGTTTAGTTCCTTTAACACTTGAAATTCTTAGAGTTGTATCTTCACCACCAGATATAAAGAACGTCATAGATTTCTCCAACTGTGGGTGGTATGATTTCAAGCAGTTAATCTCTTTTGGATGGGTACCCTTTATAATGTCTTTGGATGTAATTTTACTTAAACAAAATGTCTCCATGTTAATATCACAATTTTTTAAGTAAACTAATTTAATGATTTGTTCATAATCATTATTTATATTTTCTATATAGCGTACTACGTCCCAAGATCTATGGCCTCCGCCACAAGGAACTTCGAGTAGCTTCGAATTATTTTTTAAATCGGTTATAACAAACACTCTCTCTTGGAAACCACAAAATAAATTACTTTGGGAGTCAATACATTTTTCTACCCACTGAAATCCTAAATCCTTAGAACTAATATGTTTTATTCGATATACGCCGTTGTTACAATTCACTGTAAAATATTTGATTGTTCCGTCTCTACCAGTTGTTACAATTTCATTATTTTTTATTCTTATCGAGGTAGGACCATATCTACCATGTACTTTAGCGAATGTTTTTATAGGAGTTTTGCCTTCTTTGTAACAATGAATGTTACCACATCGATCTCCCACAACTAATAAGTTATTGTCTAAGTGCATAGCTGCAGATGTGAGCCATCTTTCTTTACAATGTGGCAGTAAAAATTTTGAAACAATTTCTACTTCACTACCTTTAGATGCTACAACACATATCTCACCACTTTCGGAACAGAGTACTAAATGTCTGTTGTCTGCCCATTGCATAGACAAAATTTTATTTATTTGTAGTTTTGTGCTTATAACATTCTGAACACTTGCAGGGCCTTTACAGTTTTCAACAAAAACCTCTAGATTTCCATTCATATCAGCCACTGCTATTATTTGCTTACACGGCGAAATACTAAGCATTACGTAAGTAGACTCATGTTTTATTTTATGTATAAATTCTGTTTTCCCAGCTATAACATAATAAATCAAATGTCCGGTTTCGTTGAGGATAGCTAAATTTCTTCGTGCTGTATAAACTAACTTCTTGGGTGTTCCTTCACCTATTCTCAGTGTATCAGGATTACTGTAATCACTGGCAACTGTTAAAGGATGTGTGGTTACACCACAATCCGCTCCACCCGTGACCAGATTATGTTCGTCAACGTCAACGGACCATATAGGTGCATTTTGATGGGCACCAATCCTCTTGAGTAACGTTCCATCAGAATCCCAGAAACAAATGCCCGAATCTTCGCCGACAGATATTACGTATCTGTTTGTAATACAGTTTCGCATCACCCTGGCCAAATGTCCATATAATTCATGTATGCATGAAATGGTAACACTGTCCCAATAAGCCTTTGTGTTGCGATCTAAAGCAGGCCCATTTAAGCCCCATATACGAACAGAACGATCGTCAGATGTGGTCACTATGATTCCTCTTTCTATGCTACACGAAACTGAAAATATTACACCCTGTAATAACAAACAGTTGTAGTACTTTAATTATATTGTTTTTTTTATTGAACTATGTTAACAAACAAGTGCTCAGTCTATCTGAAGGTAAGTGGATGCTGTGACCTATAGACTACATCTACCCTTAGTTGAAATGAAAATGCACATGCGTTGTTACCCCTGTTTGACCAAGATGGAATTTCGCCATACGAAACACAGCAGCATCAGGCTGCTATTTTACGCTGGTATTCTGTGAGAGCGTGGTCCTTTCCCGGTTAACCCGACCCATTCGTGCTTCAACCATAATAAAGATACAGCATGGCTCTACCACGTAGAACCACGAAGAAATTATTAACGGCGCGTTGCATCGGTTACGAATAGAGAGGGACAAAAAGTACCTTTGTGGTATGGCAATGAAACATTTCTTGTAAAAGTTGTCTAACTTTTAGAGACGATTATTTGGAAATTGACGCCGGACATGAAGTTTGGGTCTCGTTTTCGCATACTTATGAAGGTCATCTGCCGAAGCACAGATGATTTTCCGTCATATAGTCGTCATAAGATTCGCTAATCGGATCTTTCTTTATTATTTAAAAGCAGACATACAGATGGTTAACATTCGATATTCGAGTCGACATTGCACGCATTCAATTTAAACGTGTTTTTCGTCGTTCGTAGTGTCTTCCCATTCGATTACAATGCGAGTGTCTTCAAAGCAAGAGTACATCACCATTTATCATCAGATGAGATATTAGTCAAGTAATAGTAATAATAATAACGTCCTCCAGACCGAATTTTAACGTAGGCTAGCCATTTACACAGGACAGGATTATAGTGGCCAAGTGTATGCGCAAATACAGATGAAACCTCTTTTCCTTCACTCTCACAGTCCGATAGGACTGTAAATTGACACGACCGGAGAGAGATCAGGCCTAGGCCCAATGGCATTATTTGCTTTCTGAGGCGCGGGGGTGAAACATTACCAACTTTTTTGACTACCAGGCAACTACTGAGGGTTTCGTGACAGAAAAACTCATCAACTGAATTTTTTTGACCCGATTCGGGATTCGATCCCGGGACTTTGTGATCTGCAGTCGCATTCACGACCACTAAGGCTAACGACGCAGTCTGGCACTTGCTTAAGAAAAAAAGATATTTTTAACAGTTATGAGAGTCCACTCTACACCTTACCAGCATTTTTAATAAGAGCTTTCACAAACATGTACAGAGCTAGTGGAGCTCAACACGGTTACTGTTACAGCCTATTAAAGTCACCATGCAGCCAACCCACCAGCAAAGCGTGGTTAGTATCCCTGCTATAAGGCATTTTATAGGAGAGGCTTATGTTCAGCAGTGGCCTGACATGATGATGACGATGAGATGATAGTCATCCATGACATACTTTTTCTTGATCATGCAACGAAAATATTAAACAGAAAACATAAAAAGAATCCTTGCTTACATACTTTGTGGCCAATCAATCGATGCAGGGGCTCTTTGCATTCACATCTTGATATTATCACTTCAGAGAAGACTGTACCGCTGAAGACTAGTATGTCATCTATTAACGGTGTAATAAGACCACTGTATAATATTGAGTTGTCCTTGTTGATGGTACAGGATATTAGAATAGGGTTATTTGATACCTCCCACACCTACAAAACCAAATAAACCACAGGTGTTTAATGCCAATAAAAGTCATTAGTCAGCAGTAACAGTTAAACTGCTTCATCTTTTGGTTGCGAGCTAGCTAGATTTGGTTTGCATGGAAAAAATATTATAAAGTGCCAACAAATAATTGTTTGAGGTGTGATGTTTTGTCCACGCGCAATTCATTTCTGTGAAAAATCTCTGTGACACGGTACTTATTGAGTGTAAAGTTTCTTTTAAAGTAAATGAAAGATAAACCAATAGTCAATGCCATGTCTCATGATAGCGTGAGAGCAATGCACTTTCTATGAATTTAATAAGATGTGAAAAATGACTCATTCCACAGTGCCAGACTAAGTGTCGATTTATCTGCTAAATCTTCATACTCAATGAGAGAACATGTACTGTTGTAACATATATATTGAGGCATCAGAGGCAAACTCCTTAAGCTTCTAGTTTGGGTTGCTTAAAGGCTGTTGATCACAACATCATCATGAGCCCATATACAGCCCATGTCCGTAACAGTATCCACCATTTTCACACCTTTGATTGTCAATGGTGAGCTACTTCACTTCGCCCATCAAGATGTTTTAAGTTTGGCAGGTTATATCCCATATACGAGTTGCAATACCTTTGAGGTTTAAGACCCAATCTCTGATTATACTTTAAGCAACATAAAAGCAGCTTAATGGTTGTGTAAGAGAATCTATTACCCAGTATCATCTTTTAAATGTCATCAGAGGTAACAAAGGAAACCTGAAAATGATATATGCAGCAGCATCATCCTGATAATAACTCAATCTATAGGGGAGGTCTAAGTTCAGCAATGGACTCTTGGTAAGTAAGTAAGTTACAGCCTATATATGTCCCACTGCTGGGCACAGGCCTTCTCTGATTTCTGAGAAGGTTTTAGGGCAAGGAAGTGTCCGTTGTGCTGCCCCAATGCACATTGGCAAACTTCACATGTCTTTGAAATATTTTTTCTTATTTCTCAGACATGCAGGTTTCCTCACGATATTTTCCTTCACCACCGAGCATGTGGTAAATCAGCACCTAAAATCGCAATTAACAATTACATAGGTGCCGGCAGGGATCGGAAACTGGGATGCTTGAGTACTGTGAAATTTACAGCTGGACTTTTGGTAGACTGTAATAAATGATGAATTACTGAACATAGTAGAAGTAATATATTGATATTACTGCATATTGTTCTTAAGCTCTAACCTCTCAACTGTCCCGGCCCAAATGGTTGCTTTGGCGCATCTGTCAAACCCTAAAAGTGTGATCCATTGCATAAATGGCACGTGTCATTAAAATGGCAATATTTCAATAATTATGAATGGAAACTCTATAAAATAACATGTTGTTAGAATTATTGTTAAGTAAGCTAATAGAATATGTGTAAATGTGTACAGTCACCATTTTTTATATTTTCTAAATTTCATGGTAAAAATGCTAAAAACAATTTTTCTCCAGTTTGGTGAATGAAAAATGTAAAAAAAAAAAAAACAATTATTTCAATAAACATTTATTTTATTTACAATAAGATAAATACGTTTACAATAAATAATAAAAAAAACAACTCTGCGTACATTTTATGTACACCACAAGCTCGACAATAATGTGGGCCACTTAAGATGACCCGAAACAGGCACAAAAAGGCACATTTTGTACTTCAATAGCGACAATTCCATACCGAGATAAGTAGGTTAATGATATTAAAACAATGTTATACGAGTTAGAGGGAGATACAGATACACTTACTACGGCTGTTTCGTGTCTGAAGTTTATAAGTAAATTGCAACCTTCTAAAGCTTGTGGATAGAAGTGTCCTCTTTTAATATACCTTTAGAAGAGTAAGTTGAGTGGCTAATGTATTTTAAATTGTTCAAAATTTTGAGATATTTTTTTTTTATAGAATAGGGTGACAAACGAGCACACAGTCCATCTGATGGTAAGTGGTTGCTGCGGCCCATAGACATCTACATGTATCCTCGATTACAAAACCAAATACAGCTGCGTTGTCACCCGTGAGGACTAAGATGGAATGCCTCGTTTCCAGTAAAAAGGGTCTCCGGTTCTCTACACTCACCATACGAAATACAGCAGCATTAAGCTACTATTTTATGCTGGTCTTCTGTGAGAGTGTGGTCCTTCCCCGGTCGAGCCGGCCCATTCGTGCTACAACTATATAATTAATATAGCTGCAGCATGGCTCTACCACATATAAGATATGATAAATAATAACAAATAAACAATTACTAGTGAAATCTTCTAATTACCTGAAAAACATTGTGTGCTGTTAAAAGAGCTATTTTATTATCGGATGTCCAGACACCACTGTGCAGCCAATCATCACACAAAATACTACCAGGGGAGAAATCAAACAATCTCAGCTCCAGATTTGATCTGTGTATAACTTTAAACTGCTTACCACCAAATATTAATATCTTAGATTTATCTTTAATGGGTATAATACCATATATTTTTTGCCCTTCAAGTACATGATTGTGGGTTTCTAAACTTTTTGCAGTATTCTTTTCATAAACATGTAAAGAACTACCTATACCTGAAAAAGATAAATGTCTATACTGTTTGTAATTTAAATGTTACAAGCAGGAGAAAAAATAATTTCTAAACATACAAAATATTCATCAGATCAGATAGATCCATCATTGCATTATTTATTTTTTATATTATTTTATCGACTTTCTAAAACCAACACTTATTTTTATATTACAAAGTACCCTTATTTGCTATTAATTAACAATTTGCAAGTTTTTTTATAATTGAATATTATTTTTATTATATACCTGCAATTATATAGTCTTCATAAAGTATAACAGCAGTTACATCAGTACGGATAAGTAAGGACATTTTTATGTTTATTGGTAGAACTTATAAACATTATTTCACAGCGCTTAAAACTAATAAGTTATAAAATAACCTAACTAGTTTGCTACTTATTTACTTATCTATGAACATAACATTCAATCACATATTAAACAAAAATAAAACAGCTGATCAGTGATCAACAGTCAGCATCTCCAATAGGGATGTTCGATGATCATCGATGTTAGAAATTAAAACATCGATGTTACCACACGTTAAACATCGAAACATCGATGTTGCCACATGTCAAACATCGATGTCAATGAACCAATAATCGATTAATAAGAACCTGTGAACAATGCGAACCCGCGAAATCAATATCAACTAAATATTTCGTCTCCCACTAAAAGTTTAAAATTTTGAATTCTTAAATGCATCGATCACCTAAAAAAATATCATTATGTTGTGTCAACCACCCTGTCAAATGTGAACTGTAATGTCACAGTTGTCACTGCTTTCGCTTTGTTATTGTGGTGTCGTTGTCAATTGTCGCATAATAACTATTCTATATAAATTGATATTCAACTTAACTCTTTTTTCCCTGCCGTGGTAGCTCAGTGGTTAACGCTCGCTGTAAATATAACAGAACGCGAGTAACCCGGGTTCGATCCCCGCCAGCACCAATGAAATTGTTAATTGCAATTTTAAGTGCTGATTTACCACGTGCTCGGCGGTGAAGGAAAACATCGTGAGGAAACCTGCATGTCTGAGGAATAAGAAAAAAAACTATTTCGAAGACATGTGAAGTTCGTCAACACGAATTTGGGCAGCGCGGCGGACACTTCCTTGCCCTAAACCCTCTCAGAAATGAGGGGAGGCCTGAGCCCAGCAGTGGGACGTATATAGGCTGTAACTTTACTTTACTTTACTTTTTTCCCTTGCTGTCTATACACACATAATTTTGAAACAATATGTATCTACACAATTTAATTATATTTAGCTGCTTTTTTTTTGAGCTTGGGATAACAAGTTTATTGTTTGCTTGAAGTTTCTAAAAATAAACTACTCGGCGATCGTGAGCATAGACAATTTCACTGTATAGTGCATTCTACAGTGCATTTAATAAACGGCTGTGAACAAAGGTGACGGAAAAGTCTATTATTTTGTTTTTGTTAAGTTTGTTAATTTTTCCTCTATAATCACTTTTTTGTTTCGCGATAGGAGTAGTTAATATAAAACCTACGTCTAAATTGTAAATTAGGATAGTAATTTTTTTAATACCAGATTTATAATTATATAGAAACATTTAAATATCAAAATAATAATATTTATCATTATCGGCAAAAACTATAACAAATTAACAAAACATTTATTAATTTTTTCCCATTTTTAAAATTACTGTTTCACACTAAACGTTTTATTAATTTCTTTAATTTCATTAATAATAAACCATAAACAACACTAATAATTTTTTGTTCATCTAGTTTTAACCTACTAAATAGGTACATGTGCTATAACATCGATAATGGCCAACATCGATGTTTTAAGTAGGATAAACATCGAACATCGATGTGTTAAGCTATCGATATCAACATCGATATCATCATCGATGTTTCTGTAACATCGATCATCCCTAATCTCTAACCTTCATGGATCGGGGATCGGTGTCACTGTCACCAACTGTAATCTGTCACTGCAACTGTTGTTTTTATTATTCGCTCGAAAGCGCAAGCAAAGGGACTAAGCCATACAGCCGTGGCTTTTTTAATTTTTTAGTGTAGAATTTTGAAGTGTAAAGGCTGGAACCAAGTCTTATTTTTCTTCTTTCCATCTCTTCAAAATCCATAAAGGCCGAAGCCAAGTCTTATTTTCTTTAATTCTTCATATTTTCAAAAACCACAAAGGCTAAAGCCAAGTCTTCTTTATATTATAATCTAAATAAGTTTAGATCCATATAGATTTATCAGTCCAGTTTCAAGATTTCCGCGCTTTTTTTTCTTTTCTTCACAATATGTTGATGCGTCACATTGCGAAGCCCTTGGGAGATTTTGTCGACAGCTCAACCCAGCGGACAGTTGATGACGACAGCCACTCAAGTTCATGAAGTGCCTAAGCGATCTAAATAACTTGAGGTTTATATCGACATCAAAGCACTTGTTTCGTCGTTTCCTCTAATAGTTCACACGCGCAGACAATTAATTCACAAAATCACATCACTTTTACGGAATAAAATCCACTTCAAACTAATATTCAAGCGACAAAACAGGAGCGACAGTCCGTCGTCGGCCAAGTTCCCGCCAAAACTCTGTCACTGTAACTGACACTGACAAATATTAAATATATTTTACAATACTTTAAGGCAAAGGAATCTATAGTTATACAGCCTAGCCAGATGTGTTTCCTAATAATACCTTTACAAAACACTTTTTATAAACGACGACCAGGTGCCAATCGGACAAAATAGCTTTTTGTTTCACCGTTAACTGTTAAAAATTTAAATATCTTGGTAATTTTCTCAAACAAGATACCCAACTGGTGAATGCTGCAGTGATATATATTAACATATTATAATAAGGATTATTAATAATGATTTCTTATATTTACGCGAGACGAGAAGATACTAGAGCTGGAAGAAGAGGTAGACAAGTTGCGCTGGCATATTATTGGATTATCCGAGGTCCGAAGAGAGGGGGAGGACACGGCAATCCTCGAGTCCGGCAACTTGTTCTATCACCGGGAGGGCGACCATCTGTCCCAAGGAGGTGTCGGATTTATCGTCCACAAGTCTCTCGTCAACAACGTTGTAAAGATTGGGAGTGTGTCGACGAGGGTCGCGTACCTGATACTCAGAATCACCAAACGGTATTCGCTGAAGGTCATTCAGGTTTACGCACCAACCTCGGCACATCCCGATGAGGAGGTGGAGGAAATGTATGAGGATATTTCCAGAGCCATACATTCCTCCAAAACCTACTACACGGTGTTGATGGGAGACTTCAACGCAAAACTAGGTACAAGAGAAAGCGGTGAGCTGAAGGTAGGGAAATTTGGAGTAGGGCAACGGAACCGAAGGGGCCAGCAGCTGGCCGACTTTATGGAGAAAGAGGGACTCTTTATGATGAACTCTTTCTTCCAGAAGCGGCCCCATAGGAAGTGGACCTGGTCGAGCCCCGACGGTTCGACAAAAAATGAGATTGACTTTATTATGACGACCAGACGCCAACTGTTCAGTGATGTCTCAGTGATCGCAAGGGTGAAAACTGGCAGAGATCACCGAATGGTTAGAGGCACACTGAACCTAAACGTTAAGTTGGAGAGGTCTCGTCTAATGAAGTCAACGCTCCGTCCCCCTCGTGCTCTAATCCAGAATCCCGAAACCTTTCAGCTCGAGTTACGTAACCGCTTCCAGTGCCTAGAAGATTGCAATGCAGTGGACGATACGAACGACAAGCTCGTGGAAACTGTCCATGCGGTCGGAGCTAAGTTCTGCAAGACCCGCCGCAGAAGAACACAAAAACTCTCCGATCACACTCTTAATCTCATGGCTGTTAGACGGGAGATGAGGCAGCAATCGTCAACAGATTTGACAGCATACAGGCAACTGAACAGACAGATCTCCAAATGCATGCGGCGAGACTTACGCAACTTTAATACTTCTCGTATTAAAGAAGCGATCGAGCGGAACCAGGGCTCCAAAGTCTTTGCCAGAGATCTGTCTGCCAGAAAGAGCCAACTGTCAAAGCTGAAGACTGAGTGTGGCAACATCGTTTCCGGGACACCTGAGATTTTGAGTGAGATTGAGAGGTTCTATGGGCAGCTGTACACATCATCGTTGGAGCCACACGTAAGTGTGAGTAACGATCCAAGAGCAAGTCTTATCCGACACTATTCCGATGATATCCCGGACGTCAGTCTGAGCGAGATTAGAATGGCTCTCCACCACCTTAAAAACGGCAAGGCCCCGGGCGAGGATGGAATTACAGCGGAGCTTCTGAAAGCGGGTGGAAAACCGGTACTTGAAGTCCTTCGGAAGCTCTTCAATTCCGTCCTCCATGGTGGCACTACTCCAGAGGCGTGGAGCAGGAGCGCGGTGGTCTTGTTCTTTAAGAAAGGCGACAACGCTCTCTTGAAGAACTACAGACCGATTTCCCTTCTGAGCCGCATCTACATGCTATTTTCGAGAGTCATTACGAATCGTCTCGCACGCAGACTCGACGACTTCCAGCCTCCCGAACAAGCCGGTTTCCGAAAAGGCTTCAGTACCATAGACCACATACATACCCTGCGGCAGATTGTACAGAAGACCGAAGAGTACAATCTGCCACTTTGCCTGGCATATGTGGACTATGAGAAAGCCTTTGATTCCATCGAAATTTGGGCGGTGCTACAGTCCCTTCAGCGGTGCCAAGTTGACTGTCGGTACATCGAAGTGCTGAAGTGTTTGTACAGTAGGGCTACGATGGCTATCCGAGTACAGAACCAGAGTTCGAAACCTATCCAACTGCAGAGAGGTGTAAGACAGGGTGATGTTATATCCCCGAAACTCTTCACCGCTGCGTTGGAAGACGTTTTCAAGCTACTGGACTGGAAAAGATACGGTATTAACATCAATGGCGAGTACATCACTCACCTTCGATTTGCCGACGATATAGTCATTATGGCAGAATCGCTGGAGGACTTAAGCATTATGCTCAATGACCTCAATAGTACCTCCCAACGGATAGGTCTTAAGATGAACATGGACAAAACAAAGATCATGTTTAATGTCCATGTCACACCTATGCCGGTAGTTGTTGGGAGCACTATGCTCGAAGTTGTTGACGAGTACGTTTAACTGGGACAAACAGTCCGACTAGGTAAGTCCAACTTCGACCGAGAGGTCAATCGACGGATTCAACTCGGCTGGGCAGCGTTCGGGAAATTACGACATATCTTTTCGTCAGGTATACCTCAATCTCTAAAAACTAGATTGTACAACCAGTGCGTGTTGCCAGTGATGACTTACGGATCTGAGACGTGGTCCTTCACTGCTGGCCGTATGAGGACGCTTAAGGTCGCTCAGCGAGCTATGGAGAGGGCTATGCTTGGAGTTTCTCTTCGTGATAGACTCAGAAATGAGGATATCCGCAGTAAAACCAGAGTGATCGACATAGCCCAACGGATTAGTAAGCTGAAGTGGCAATGGGCCGGCCATATAGCTCGAAGAACCGATAACCGATGGGGAAGAAAGGTTCTCGAGTGGCAGCCTCGTACCGGTAGGCGTAGTGTAGGGCGACCCCCCACTAGATGGAGTGACGACCTGGTAAGACATGCAGGAAGTCGATGGATGCAGGTGGCTCAGGACCGTGCTTTGTGGCATTACTTGGGGGAGGCCTATGTTCAGCAGTGGACTTGTGAAGGGCTGTAATGATGATGATGATGATGATATTTACGCGAACACTACACATTGATTAAAACTATTTTTTTACGGATTTTATCGCGTTCATTTTACTATTATTTTTAATTCCCGATGTTTCGGGCGCTTTCCAGCACCCATGGTCACGGGAGACTGAGATGACTGATGTCCCGATGTCATTGTTAAACCCGGAGTACCTTCAGCTTTTTTAATTATTGTTTATGGTCCGATCTATGCAAAATGAACACTATGTCCTGAGGTCTTGCAGTGGTATGCTCGGGTTTAGTTTTAATTTTATTGATTATAGGATCCCAAGCAAGTGGTAGTACCCAGCCTCCTTCTCTATTGAAATTAGGATGTTTTTTAATTTCAATAGCCTCACGTATCATCCTTGGTGGGAATCGGTGTTCTTTCGCGAGGATTTGTGGTCTATCAAATCTGATGTAATGGTTGGGGCCGTCTAGGATATGATCGCAAACTGCAGACTTCCCGGAACGTTGATGTTTATATAAATCAGCTCTATGTTCTTTTACGCGGGTTCTAATTGATCTTTTTGTTTGTCCTATATAAGAGAGACCACATTCACAATCAAGCTTGTACACTCCTGCATCTTGTAGAGGAATATGACACTTGACTGATGGTAGGAACTGACTAATCTTCTTCGGCGACTTGTAGAATGTTCTAATAGAAACTCGCTTCAAGATGTAGCCAATCTTGTCTGTGACACCTCTGACATATGGTAGTTCTTCCCTTGAACCGAATCATAGACTCATCAATGGATTTGATGATTGGTCACATGCCTCTCCAAATGTCACACTCAAAATATCAATGAATGGTTGGATTTTACACAGTTTATTGTAATGTTGTGAATTCCTTGGTAGTTCTTCTCTTATATTAGAAATATGTAGGTTTTCTGTGATTTTTTTGAAACCCTTTTGAGTCATTACGGGTAATGGCTAACGGCAAACGGGTAATAATCAGGAAATATGCCCCAGCATATAGAAGGGATCAGTGCTCCAGTAAACCTGTTAATCAGATAAAGGATTCACAGACATTAGTATGATTATCCCAAAATATGCAGATAATTCTGTTTTTGTAATGTCAATCCAATGTCTGGAATGTTTTGCTTCCGCATAGATGTTAGTATTTTTTACAATTAGATCCAGTGCTTCTTCAGGACACATATCCATGAAGTAATCTTTAGGCTGACTCCTGTTAGGATATTTTTTTCTTACTGTCATCGGCCTATCAAATATAGGAGATTCAAAATCTTCAATATCATTTGTCCACTGCCAGTTTTATTTTGTAGCTGTGCTTAACTGGACCTACTTGAAGATCTTGAAGGTTGATTGCTTGAGCTTGGAGTCATGATTTGTGTTTCAGCATGAATTTTAGGAGCAGGCGTTGGCACATGAACCAAAGGAGAACTTACAGGTAAGTGAACATCGGAGATAGGCATTGGCGCATCATACCTGAGGAGAACTTACAGGTGAGTGAATTTCAGAGAAGGGCATTGGGACATCAACCGGAGGATTACTTTCAGGTAAGTGAATTTCAGGGGCAGGCATTGTAATATCAATTGAAGAAAAACTGATTTGACCATGAACCGGAACTGGAAAATAATTTTAATTTTATAATTTCTACAATACTGCACAGTGACCTTAGATTGACAAATACATAGTAGGTTCATACCTGATAATATTTCATACAAATCTTGGTCCGTAATTATATCTTGAATAAAGTCTAGTCTATTATTCAACACTTCTGAATTCACGTCATCATCGGCAGCGTCGTCGTCTTCTTCAGAATACATCATATCTTGTAATGTTTGATATAACCCATCACAGTCTTTCTGGCTTAGCACAGAAAAGATCTTCCGTTTCTTAGGAGGCTGCAATCAAAGAAATAAATGTATAAATGACAATTGAAACATTTTAGGGTGGTTAAAACATTCAAGCAACGCACTAAAATAGTCTAAAATAAAATAAATTTTGAACGTATGAAAATAAGTGAGTCGACAATCGGGCTGTAGGCATTGACTTATATATTACTAGCGTAAGGACCGGCCGACCGAACAACTAAAACGGCCCAGTGTGCTGGCCCTAATATTACAGTTTAGGGCCAACGTGAATCGGTCGACAGTGGTGCGCGCGCAGGACAGATTTGCCTGTCATAAATATGTCTAATTGCGTGTTAAAAGAATGCAAAAATTACGATACAAAGATTAAAAAGGAACATGGGACATCGTATCATCGGTAAATAAACTTATATTAATTTTATTACAATTAAATTATTATATAAACGCATTTTTAAAGTTTTATTTTACAGTTAGTTTAGTTACGTTACCAAGATGAGGCCAAGGCTGGATTCAGATCCGCAAAAATATTGTACATGGAAAATAAATTTATACTATTTAAAAAAAATTATACCACGTTTGACGTTTCATGTTTCTTTTTTCCCATGTGCCGGGATTTCGGCGTCACGCGTCTAGTTTATCCTTTGAGTATTAAACCAAAGGAGACGGCATCGCAAGGCATACCCCTCTGTAAAAGGTACGAGAGTCCGACTCATACCCGTTATATTAAACTAGTTGCTTCGCGTCGTGCGCCATTCCGAAGTGATCGTGCCAGTAAATCGAGCTCCGACAAAATGCCGAATTGCAGTGCCGTGTTGCAAAAAAATTTACGTGCAAAAAACAATCAAAAACGTTAAATCTACAAAAGGTCAACGTGACTTTCATCTCTGAGTATTTTAACATAATATTCAAGTAATATTATCATTAAAACTCGTACTTTCTGAATATTATTCTCAAATACCAAGTGTAGCCATCATAAACCATAAAGTGAAAAATAATCTATTTTTAAATAAATATAATTTATTACACAAGTTAATTACATTAACGAAAATGTATTTCCTAATAACTTAATCAGTTTGTGATGAATAATAATCATTACATATATACATGTGTAGTGGATTTTGTTAAATGATTTATATATTCATCTCAATTTTTACATGATTCTGAATATTATATAATTTAATATAATCGATAACCATTATTTATTAAAATATTATACAAAATAAAGGCCAAATAAGTCAAATCAAAACTTGCTACCTCGCAGCAAAAGCGTGCAATTTTTATAAAAATAAACTTGTATCACTGTAACCGAAAGTATTGCACTATAGTGATGTACGCCACAACTTTAGCTATCGATAAGTTAATTAACCACGCGGGTTTGTCTGCCGAACCGGTTTTTAGTTTTTATTTAGATTTTGTAATAAAGTATTACCAAAAGTATTAAATTTTTCTATTATAGGTTTGTTTTTACAGACTTCCATGAGATCCTCGTAGGCAGCAAACTTGGATTGCAGCTTGTAGAAACCACTAATCTTGGATAACTTTTTTTTAACATGGGGAGAATATCATATTTCATACCCCAAGCTAACAATAATAGAAGGTTAGCTGACCTTGAACTTGTGGGAGGTAATGTTTGGCTGTAATTATATTTAGATTAAATATTTTGTTATTACCTTTGACACCAGTATTATTCTACTTGAAAATATTTCGTTGTTTACAAAAGCATTAATCTATCAAATTCAATTCATATATATATATATATATATATATATATATATATATATATATATATATATATATATATATATATATATATATATATATATATATATATATATATAAAAGATCTTTTGACTTACATAAGTAAATTATTTATTTTAGGCTTATCGTAGTGATTGTACAACATCGTCTATATAGAAAAAAAAAGAAAGCTGGATGTGCTGGATGCTGGAATGGAAATTTCCTTATATAGCCCCAACTAGTCCTACTCCCACTGCAAGTACGAGCCAACACTTAGAAGATACGCCAAGGAAAATTAAACTAAAAATTCCTTGATATAAAAAACCGTAGCATAAAAAGGCTTCAATCGCAAAACGGTATTTAAAGAAAAAAAGTTACAAGTTTACAATAAATACTAGATTCTCTGACAGAGACATCTTTGATAAATAAAGAAAAGAAACAGGTCCTAGAAAAGATAGGAATTGAAGAAAGCGAACTCTTAAAGAGACAATTACTTAAAAGTAAGACTGGAAAACTGCCCAGAACTAAATATTCCCCAGAGTTAGGATGTTTTGCCCTAACACTTAATTATTACTCAACAAAAGCCTATCACTATGTACATAAAACTTTTGAACATGTTTGTCTGCACCACGGACATTGAATAAGTGGTATAGTACCATCGATAACCGAACAAGGTTTACTCAAGTAGCGCTGACGGCATTAGAATTGAGAGTGGAGAGTAACCCTGATAAAAAATTTATTGGATCTTGGTCATGGGTGAAATGAAAAATAAGCAATTGACGGAATACCATGCTAGCAGCTAAAGGCATTATGGCTATGTCAATCACGGGTTCGTAGGTTCATTTATATCCGCTAATTCCGATGAAGCTTCTGACGCATTAGTGTTTTTATTGGTAAGTAAGGTTACGAGCGCTGAATTAAAAGCACGGCTAGTAACACAAGCTTTCTTGTTCATGAAACTGGCATCGAAATAAAGGCGTTGACATGTGATGGTTCAAAAACCAACTTCGTCATGGCGGAAGAGTTGGGCTGCTTTTAGGTCAGCACTTGTACCCTTTACTAAGAATTACCTAATGGGTACTTTACAAGAAGTATTAACGTCCATTAATAAAAATGCTAAAGCATCAGTAGCGTTCTCCGAATTGTCAGAAATGAAGTCAAATCCATAATTATCATAACCAAACGTCTTTTAAAACTTGCATGGTACTCCATCAATTGTTTTATTTTTATTTCACCTATTATTAATATACAATACAATTTCTTGTCAGAGTTACTCTCTGGACTAGGTTTTAAAACAGTTGACGCTTTTTTTGTGTAGCCAAGTCGGCCATCAATTGTACTATACCACTTTGTTATAGTACGTGATGAAGGCGGATAAATTTCCAAACTTTTGATATTTCGCACATGTCGTTATTCGTTAAGCTTTCGGTGAATAGTAATGTAAAGTTGAAGCAAAATATCTTTCTGTGGAATACTTAGCCCTAGGTAGATGTCACGTTTTATTTTTAAGCAGCTGTCTGTTTAAAGTTCAATTTGTTCAACTATGATATTTTGTAAAACTACTTTATTTTCCTAATTTATTAAATATTTTCCAGATAGTTCATTTAATAACTCTTGAAAATCAACAACTTTTTTAAATAGCGGTTTTGTGATTGAAGCCTTATAATAAAACCAAAAACTTCGTTAACACCATCTAAGACGATAAACTGATACGACTTTTCTTTTTACAAATCTGATTTTTAAAATAAGTTAGCTAAACCAACCATTTCGATTTATTGCATGTTTTAAATTTTATCCTGAATAATGTAAAATAAACCTGTAGAAAAATAATACTTACTTTCAATAATTTCAAAGCTTTTTTCTGAAGATGATTTTTAAATATTTTAAAAAAAGATTTTCAAATAATACCTTGGTATTATTTATCTATATGTTACTTATAATCAAATAAAAACATATGCGGACTATGGTGATTTGTCTATCGATAAAAAATATCGACATAGTCCCTACGTTGCTTACGTATTTGGCCAGGGGCAACAGTGTATCGACACGTGTACAATTTTATGGTATGCGTAAATACAATTAACACAAACACAAATGCTGTAGTGTGCGTTTATAGTAACGCGATTTAATTTTGCATTTGTAAATAAGTATACAGTTGTGTGTTTCTCTTGCGCCCCCCTTGATGTTGACAGAATTTTTGTTTAGGAATTAACGCGCATGACCTCTCCAGTTGGTTTAATACTCAAAGAGTTTATCTATACGTTTCGTTTTTCGGTTTTATTTTTATTTCTGTTTCATTTTTGTCTAAAAAACTTAGTGTAAGTTAAATTTTGAATATTGGTACCTAATATTATTTTTATATTCAATAAGGGTAAAACGAAAACAGTACAAGAGAAACCATATCTGCTTAATTGAATCTGAAAATCTGATTCATTAAATACTTTTAAATTCAGTTTTCAAAACGATTGTTTCTGGATCATAGAGTTTTTATCGTGGTAGCCACTCATTATAGTTGTATAAAGGATGCAACATAAATGCATCGATCAAACACCGATTGACCAGAAAAGGAGCTAATTCTAATTTTATTAAAAAACACGTTACTCATCTACAATACAGAAATTCTCGACATCGTAGGATTAATATTAAAAACTTCAAGGACCCAATAATAATACAAGTCGAGCTTTAGGTAAAGTTATGGTATTTTCGCTTAGTATTATTACGATACTATATACTTACTACAAACTATGAAATAATGGTACAATTAGGTTAATTATACTACCAAATCCGACCCTGGTTACGTCGTGTTGTGATATGACGTTTGTATTATGACAGGAGCGCTACTTTTTCTTGTATGAAAAAGTTATGACAAAAGTGTTTAGATGGACCTATCCTTCCTTTTGAAATCATTGGCTGTAGGCATATATTTCCCACGTATTTGCAAAAGAATTTTAGTACATATAAAAATCATTATGCACTTCAAAAAGTAGTACATCGGACAAAGAAACAACAAATCTACAAAATAAAAACGTATCTGCCTACTTACCGGATTTTTTGGGTATCGTAATTATTTTTATGACAAATAGACACCAAACCACGAACGTTCACTGAGTAACCTCAAAGTAATAAAATGAATTTGACATTGACAGTAAAATGGTACGTTCAGATTGACACACTTACATTCCTCGACATAGACAATATTATTACTGTCAGTCTAGGTTTGA